TGAACTCTGTTTTTAGCCTCATTGTAGCCTGTAGCTCTGACTGCTTCTCTGTGCTCCGCGCTCACGTGTGCGCGCTCAGGGTGATCGGTGATGCACGGTCTCTGAAGAGCAGCAGTCTCGTCAGTACTGATGTCCAGATTCTCAAGTGCAGGCATCGCCAACTCCCAGTCTGAGCAGCAAAGACTTTCCTCATCCGTTGGCATTGCTTTGCATTTGAAACAACTACACCACCAGGTTTCCAGTGCTCGACTCCGGTATTCTGCGGCTGGCTGAGGCTCATGAGCTGCGGCGGCTGCTTCGTCCAGTAGCCTGAGTTCCCTCTGTATACTCGGGCTCAAACAAATACGGCTCAACAAAGAAATGCTGTTCCTCCTCAGTTTCAAAGTCTTCAGACATGTTGGGCTGTCCTTTGCTAAAAGACCGTAGTGCAAATGATCTTTTAGCTCTGTGGTTACTGTTGTCTCTCCCTGCGGTGCACGTGTCACGTGATGTAAACACGGGTGAGCAAAGCTCATGCTTTCGCTGGTCGTAGTTGTTTCAAATGCAAAGCAATGCCAACGGATGAGGAAAGTCTTTGCTGCTCAGACTGGGAGTTGGCGATGCCTGCACTTGAGAATCTGGACATCAGTACTGACGAGACTGCTGCTCTTCAGAGACCGTGCATCACCGATCACCCTGAGCGCGCACACGTGAGCGCGGAGCACAGAGAAGCAGTCAGAGCTACAGGCTACAATGAGGCTAAAAACAGAGTTCATATGATGTTTATTGAAACAACTTTTTATGTCGGGACTTCAGCACACTTGGATCACTATGGATGAGCATGCTGAAGATATTTTGTGGATTCAATTTTGTGTTCTTGGACGTTAGTCTGGGGCGCCGTCTGCCATTAGGTGTGCTAGCTGCTGCCCCCGCCGATCTCCACAAGGGATGTGAGGACTCTAAAACTTCACCTGAGCCTCCATCGGCATATGGGTGAGTAGATAATGGCTGAATTATCATTTTTGGGTGCACTATCCCTTTAATAAAATGTTTATGATGCAACTTTAAAGCACAGAAGAAGAAATGATTTCTGTTTAATTAAGCCCTGAGCCTATTTTATAGGACTCTGATATTTGAGTGCTTTTGGTGTCATGGTAAAGGGAACACTTGTGAGATTTGTTAAGATGTGTAAATATCAGTATGTGTGTTATATGTGAGGAGTAGATGAAGATGGCACACAGCACAAATTAAACATTTTGAGGTCCGCCTAAAACAAAAAGCATTTTCAGGATGAGTATCAGTTTGTAATGATGCAGCTGCAGCTCTAAACCTCGATCACATCATAGTACAATATGTGAACATAAACTCTGCAAAGGTTGATTCTGATAAAGTGAAGCAGAACAATATTAGAGAGGTTTTAGTACAGAAAATTCAGGAGAGCTCTCCAAAATTCCACCATGTTTGCTTGTGATTTTTGAATGACCCTATACCCACCACAACAAGACTGACAGCACTATAAGCCAATCAGAGTCAACAGAACGCATTGTGTGGTGATGTCGGCTGCTGTGAGTGGTCATTGTTTTGGTTCCCCCAGAACCTTTTTTTCCACCCGGACTCATTTGAATGACGGACCACATCCGGTAATACGGGAACGAAACGTGAATCAACAGCAGAATACACTTTTCACGGCAAAAACAACAAGGTAAGAGAGATATTACAAATATATTTTGGTGAAAAGATTTCTGTTGTTGTTGTTCTTTGGCCTGTAGCTCTCTGATGGTTTGTGGTAGAGTGATTTGGTGCATATGTGTGAACACAGTGGAGTCTCTGCTTTCATTTGAGATGAACGGCGTGTGTTTTGAATGTGTGGTCGAGTTAGAGCCCAGAATATACTGAGTGGGTCGGGATATCAGTGCTGTATGGAGTTGGATTTGTTGTTTATTTAGTTGTTGTTTGAGCTGTGTTTGGGGCATGTAAAAAGGGTTTTACAGCCGTGTAGGTTCTGCTGTTTAATTTGATGTGCAGCATCACTATATTCCTCGTGATCATTGTTTCACACTGTGTTTGCAAAGTCGCTCTCAAAGTCCCCCAATTCAAGGACTTGCAGTTTTAACAGGTTTAAACTGACCTGCAGCTGGAGGATGGACTCATCTGAAGACACCTCTCCTTCATCATCTTCATCATCATCATCATCATCATCTTCTGCTGCTGCTGCTCTGGATGGTGTCAAGGTCACTTCCTGTCCACTCTCTAACTCCGCCTCCTCCTCAAGTGCCACACTTTCTGTTGAGCTGGACGAGGACTCAGAGAGCGCCAGGAGGACCTCGCTCTCCTCCTCTTCATCCCCCTCCTCCTCACTTGTCTTGATGACATCATCACCCTCCTGCATCTCCACCTGTGAGGGGGCGGGGCCTTCTGGAGGAAGAGGAGGAGTTACATCCTCTCCTTCCCTCCTCCTCACTCCTCCTCTGTTCTGGGCAGGAGGTGAAGCAGACAATGACCTCCTCCTCCTCTTCCTCCTCCTCTTCCTCAGGCTGGCGAGGGTCTTGTAGTGGTGCCTGATTCGATCTCTGGTTGTCATGCAGACGGTAGCGGTACTGATGACGTCAGGGGGGGTGTCAGTCCTGCTCAGGAGGAGGCGGCGGAGGAGAACCTGGGGAGGCCTGAGAGCTCGTGGGCAGCCCACCTGTCCGTCAGGGAGGGGGGAGGCGCCCACCTGTCTGTCAGGGAGGGGGGAGGCGCCCACCTGTTTGTCAAAGAGGGGGGAGGCGCCCACCTGTCTGTCAGGGAGGGGGGAGGCGCCCACCTGTCTGTCAGGGAGGGGGGAGGCGCCCACCTGTCCGTCAGGGAGGGGGGAGGCGCCCACCTCTCCATCAGGGAGGGGGGAGGCGCCCACCTGTCCGTCAGGGAGGGGGGAGGCGTCCACCTGTTTGTCAAAGAGGGGGGAGGCGTCCACCTGTCTGTCAGGGAGGGGGGAGGCGCCCACCTGTCCATCAGGGAGGGGGGAGGCGCCCACCTGTCCGTCAGGGAGGGGGGAGGCGCCCACCTGTTTGTCAGGGAGGGGGGCGGGGTCAGGGGGAGGAGGGGGGAGGGGCTGCTGCAGCTGCACAAAGCCGATGCGTCTGAAGTCGAGCTGTTTGGGGAGGCGGGGCGGGTACTTGGTGCCAGGAGGGAAGCTGTAGATTTGGGACGCAGAGCGCCGGAGGGTCATGTGACTCTGGCGGGCACCACCTGACCTGCAGGGGAGCAGGGCCTCTGGGGCGGAGCCAGAGGGGCTGTTGTAGTCTCTGATGGTCGGGTAGATGACAGGAAGGCTCCTCTGTGGGGGAGGGGGGGGGGCAGATTTATTTATTACAACCTTCGATTACTAAATTCTGAAAAAAAAACAAAAACAAAAAAAAAAAAAAACAGACAGGATCACAGTGACCTTGACCTTTGACCTATGACCATTAAAATCAAATCAGTTAATTGTTGAATCCAGGTGGACGTTTGTGCCAAATCTGAAGACATTCCCTCAGGTGTTCTTGAGACGTGTGCACGAAATGCCTCCAGTCAGCTATTGTTGGTGTGAAGGTGTGAGAGCACAACAGGAAGTTACCAGCAGCCACAGGGGCATTGACTCCTCCTCCCTCTCCACTGGGGGGCGCTGCTCTGACGGCTCCACCGGCCGGCACGCTACCATCATTGGCCACAACACCCGCTGGTACCTGAAGGCCTGCAGAGACACACACACCTGTGAGTCTGACACACGGTCACATGACATCAGCTGGAGGTTGTTGTCCTCAGTACGTTACCTTGACAATGTTGTCAGGGGAACCAGGTCTGCAGCACTGCAGGATCCTCCGCCTCACCTGGACCAGAGTCTTCCTCAGCAGGAACTGAGACACCAGCTTCGTCGGGTCACATGACCCCTCCATGTTTCTGAGGCCGAGGACCAGGAGGCTGATGAGACAACGTGACACCTTTTACGTTACCACAGCTACACGTCTACTGGCATTCGCCGCGTTTCCCAGTTAAGATCGATCTTAAGACTTAAGGGCACAGTTAAGAACGTCTTAGCTAAGAAGAGTTGCTAAGATAAGAGTGTTTCCCAGATGAGTTCTTAAGGCCCTTCTTAGGATCGCTCTTTAAGAAGTTTTTAACAGGAGCTGGACACTACCGCAGTGCTGAAACTAAATCAATTGATGTCAAGCACATCGATCACCCACCACTTCATCAGCGCGTAAGTCACACACAGCGCTGCTACCTAACGCACTAATTCCCTGCTGCTCGTGTGTAAGTGTGTTCTAATAATTCTAATGAAAAACTAAGATGATAAATATTTGTTAATGACCTATTGTCATGACGAAAACAAGACTACGACTAAATAAGAAGTAGCCTTGGTAAGAGAATCATGAGGACATATTTTATATTTATATGAAAGACGGATGAATGGACAAATGAACTTAAGGACCTGCATTGTGTCCTACTTGCATTCATCAACGCTGTGTCTCTGCTAATGATCATCTTAACGAGACCAGTTCACGGAAGGACAAAACTGACAGATTTATGGACTATATCAATCTCCACTGAGAATTAGACAACACCCCGGGTATAAACTGTGAAAACACACAGGCAGCACGCTGACAGTTGTAAAAGAGTTAATGTGACATGTATGTGCAGATGTGTGAAAACACACAGCTGCTACCCAGCGCACTAATTCCCTGCTGCGCGTGTGTGTAATTACAGGTAACAGGTGTATCCAAGTAGCAATCACACCCATTTACGCACAGCAATTGGTTAATGCAGATATAAAATGACCTGTGGGTATAGGTGCACACATTTAGACAGAGGCGCAAGCAGGCCAAGCGGTCACCTGCATTCACCCCAGAGGAGATGACCATCCTGGTGGATGAAGTATGGCAGCAGCGGGACACACTCTTTGGCAGAACAAAAGGCAAAAAAAAAAAAATTAGTGGCCAAGAACCACATTTGGCACGCCATCGCCCAAACAATGGCTCCCTCCAGCCCCTGCAGCCTGCGAGACTGGTTGGCAGTGAGAAAGAAGTGGCAGGAGTTTCAGAGCCAAACGAAAAATAGGGCTGCAAGTGGCAGGCGAGAGAGCCAGGGCACAGGTGGTGATGGACCTGGTGACACTACCCTCACCCCTGACGAGGAGAGGGTCATGTCAATAATTGGCAAGACTGCCTCTGAGGGCATCGAGGGGGGGATAGGTGTCCTACGGGAACATGTTTGATGTGGCAACGCCTTTATGTAGAGTAGCAGGTGGAGCGTCCCTTGATGAGGTTCCAGCTGAGCTCAGTTACACCTGTCAGTTGCCTGATATCTGAATGTCGCAGGTTTGGAGGGTGGATGTGTTTCTGTTGAGCCCTGACACATTTTTGTGGTAAACTACCTGATACGTGCATGCATATGTGGGATATGTGCGGACAAGTTATGATAAATGATAGTCATGACGATTCATTTTATTTGTGTGCCTGATGTGCACAGCACATACAGGAACACACTTGTTATTCCTCATTCTTATCTTTCTTATTATTATTATTTTTCCGCCAGATTTCGGTGCGTAACTTGTGAAATTTGTTATTTTCTGTCACCAATTAATGCTCAACAACATAAATCTTAAGTATGAAATAGATCAAAATATATACGGTGCACACTGTTTTAACGTCTCCTTGCTTAGTGTAATATTAATGTGCCTGACGTGGCTAAATCTGTGAGCGTTTGGTCGCTAAGAAGACTGTTAAGAGTGGGTCAGCTCGATCTTACAACTCCTTCTTAGTGAAAGAAAAGATCTTCTTAAGTTAAGAGCGATCTGGGAAACATGTTTTTCTTTCACAGGAGGCTTAAGAGCGTTCTTAAGAAGCTCTTAGCGCTAAGATCTTCAAAACTGGATCTGGGAAATGCGGCCATTGTGTGTGTGTGTGTGTGTGTGTGTGTGTGTGTATACCAGTCCTCAGCTGCAGTGAACGCCGCCGTCCTGCGGGGACAGTACAGAGCCGGGTCCAGGCTGGCGCAGGGCAGCAGCTCTGGGTACAGGAAGACCAGACGGGTGGCGAAGAGCCAGGCAAGTTCAGTTGGCAGGACGGGGTAACAACGCACTGTGAGAACACACAAAAACGCACACATCATTGCCACATTTACACCACGACTCATCTAAGGGTCCTTGAACGCACCACAGGGTGGAGCTGTGATGCAGTCTTCATCGTACTCACTGTGTCCTCTGGCGTCCGGAGGGTGGTGCTGCTGCTGGTGGCTGATGGGAGTCTGCTGCAGCTCCTCCAGCAGCTGCAGGGCCCCCTGCAGGTTGGAGGCTCTGAAGGCGCTGCGGAAACCGGGACGCCCTGATGACATCAGCAGCTCACCCCTCTGAGCCAACAGGTCCAACTCAAACTGAGACACAGAGGAGACATTCAGAATCGGTGTGTTCACATATGTGTGTGTGTGTGTGTGTGTGTGTGTGTGTTACCAGGAACTGTCGGGTGGTCTCAGCCTCGCTTTGTAGTCTGACCACAGGTGAGCTCAGCAGGTGGATCTGAGTCAGCAGCTGGACATGCTGAGGGACAAACACAGTATTTAATAACCTTTATGTATACGTACACTGAAATAGGTACAACCCCATCATCCCCTGGCTGCGCCTAGAGATCTTGATCCTGATCAGTGACGTGGGACAACAGCAGCAGAGAAAAAACACCCACCGAGAACGTGATTGACTTTACAGGTGGCAGGAGGCAGATGCAGCTCTCACAGGAACCAGATGGCTCGTAGCGGCGACCCTGGTACCCCCCAAAAGACGCCCGCAGTCGTAACCCTTCTCCAAGTCCACACGTAGACTGGATGGGCAAACTCCCACAACCCCCCCAGCAGCCCTGCAATGGTAAAGAGCAGGTCCACTGTTCCACTGCCAGGATGGAATCTGCATTGCTCCTCCTGAATCAGAGCTTTAACAATTGGTCGTTCCCAGCACCCTGGAGTAAACTTTACCTGGGAGGCTGAGCAGTGTGATTTGATCACCACCCTGGACTGCCACTCTGCAGGCACCGTATCGGACCTCCATGTGACACTGAAAAGGCATGTCAGCAGAGAGAGCCCAACAATGTCCAGAGCCTTCAGCATCTCAGGGTGAATCTCGAACCTCTGCAAGGGATATGGGTGAGAGTTCCCCCAAGTCTTCAGGCTTTGCCTCCTCCAAGGAGGACTTGACGGCCGTGTTCAGGAGTTCCTCAAATACCCCTTTTCCACCAAAGCAGTTCCAGTGCTGGTTCTGGGCCAGTGCTTAATTTGGAACCGGTTTTCCTGTTTCGACCGACAAAAGAACTGGCTCTGTGGCAGAAAAACTGGTTCCAGAGTGGCACCAGTTCTTTGCTGGACTAGAAGAAAGAACCAATACGTCACAGGGAAGGGGGCGGGGTTATTGAGCTGCTCAGCCACTGCAATGAATGCTGGAGGCGATGGTGGACGAAAGCGCAAATGGACCCCGGTAAGTTTGTTTTCGAACATTTTCGCCTTGCACATAGTTGTTTAGTGTTACCAGTTTCTTCAGATAACAGCTGTGTCCCAATTTAGGCCCGCGTCCCTCGGAGGATGTGGCGCTAAATTGGGACACAGCTGTTGTATGTGATGTCTGCTCGGGTTAATGTTAACTGATCAACAGGTTAGCCTTGCTAACATTAGCTAACGTTAGCAAGTTACTTAGCCATGGGCTCACCTACCAGCCCCACTTTCAGTTGGCTAAACATTGTATAATGTGTAGTGGACAAGTCACTGTTTAAAGTGCTGTTTTTCATGTGGTCTACAGAGTTATCTGCCATCGAACAAGACGATGCTAACTTGGAGCTAACGTCGCTACTCCACTGCAGCTCGCCAACACCATCCAGCAGCTGAGGTCAAAGCAACACAACAAGAACCTGAATGATGCCCTGCTGCAGAAGCTGGAGACTGAGACCAGTCCAGTGGGAGCTTCATGGGAAGCTTTAGTTTTGCACATTCAGTGCACACTTGTAACTTTTATCATTAGCTTGTTTTTTGTATTTAAATTAAAAAAAAAATCTAAAGAGACATGTCTGCTTCTGTATGTTTTCACTTAATGATGTACAATTTAACTGTGTAATAAGTTCAAGTAAAGCTAGTAAAAACAAGTCAAGACCTCAACAGGTTACCCATTTATGAAGATGCTTTTCACAGATGTCTTCAGTCACTGTGTTTATAAAGAAATGAGAACATGACAGTCACAATCATTTCTATGAATTTATTAAACTGAAGGATGAAACAATATTGGTGACATGAAGTAGTCCAGCAAACACAGGTAAAAGAAGTCAGGTAAGCAGCAACAAAACAGCAAAAACAATGGAGAGTAGCAGCCATAACATGTGCAGCATACACAACCAGAACTAAATATAACAAACATTTGAATGGCAGGTTTTTAGGAGGCACCTTCACCGTCCTGTCAATCTCCCAAAACCCATTTCCACAACCGACCGTGCACTGCTTAATCTGTAGTTATAGGTGTGTTGTTCAGGGGTCAATCTGCCAGTGTCCGCAAAGAGCTTCATGAGCCAGCTCTGCATGGGGTAGGACAAAAATGAATAGGTAAATAAGCATGTTGAGTGGAGAGTGATCAATACTACAATTAATAGCTACGTATCCTCTTTTGTCCAGCTGAAACTACAATAAGCCCTCAGTTGTCTAAATAAGTACACAACACATAACGTTACACATTTGCATTGTGTATTAGCTGTGCTCTGCCAACTAACGTTAGCTTACAACAAAGGCTAACATAACAATCTCACGTTCAGTGTTAGTAAGAGACAAACCGTGTTAGGTTATTACCTGTCTTCTGGAACGTAATTGCCGTCCATACAAATCTTGTCGAGCAGCACAAATACGACGTATCTGCCCTATTTGGATGCCGATGAGGCCTCGTAGAGCCAGGAGTAACAGCTGCACAAGTACGTGGTCCGCCGTTGTTGTTGTTGTTGTTGTTGTTCTACGTAACTGATGTATACAGTGACGCAACGACGTGGCACCCTAACCACCTCGAGCTGTGGAAAAGCACATTGGTTCTCAGCTGGTTCGCAAGTTGAACCAACTGAGAACCAGCACCAGCACTGGAACTGCTTTGCTGGAAAGGGGGTAAAAGTGCTCCTTCCACTGCTCAACGATGTCCCCAGTTCAGGTTGGGTCAAGCCAATATATACACACATATATACATACATAAACACACACACACACACACACACGTATATATGTATACATACATATGCAAACAGTATTAGTATACATATATAATAGTGGTACGTACCTGTTGTAGCTGCTGCTGGAGGCGGGCCCTCTGCGGTCCTCCCAGCTTCAGTGTGTACGGCTCTGGACTGTGTGTGTGTGTGTTACACAGTGTGTGTGTCTGCTGTCTCTTCCTGATGGATGCAAGCTGCTGCTTCACCGTACGCAGCTCTGTGACTGGTCCGTCTCCGTCTGGTCCTCTGTGATGGAAGCAGAGAGGGTCAGTGGGTCATGTCTGATTGTGGTCGTGTGTGTTATGGTGTGTGTTACACACGTGTGGTGCAGCTCCTCAGCTGTGTGCGTTTGAACAGAGTGAGGCTCCTCCTGTGGCTCCTCCTCTTCATGGCCGTCATCTTCCACTTCCTGTCCCGCCAGATCTTCTTTCAGCTAAGACAAATGCATAGATAGCATGTAAATGCTACAGCGTAGGCCTCATGTAAAGGCTACAGCGTAGGCCACATGTAAAGGCTACAGCGTAGGCCACATGTAAAGACTACAGCGTAGGCCACATGTAAAGACTACAGCGTAGGCCACATGTAAAGACTACAGCGTAGGCCACATGTAAAG